CCAAGATATTCATGTTTTCATAAGTAAGGATTTGATGTATTTTCTTGTTGTATAATAAACGGACTGATGGTCTAAAGGATTTAATGGACCAGTGAATAAAATGATGACACTATTGATGATCAGCAGCTGTTAATATCTAAATATGCTTGATTCTGATCATGTGTAATTCTCCACTTGATCGAAAAACATTGACAGATTTGATGTGATTTGATTTCAGACAGATTTGAGGACGTGGAGAGTTGACAGGTCTGTGGGGACGTCTGGAGGAGCCTCGGCTCTCGTCACACTTATCCTCGGTATCTGTCCATGAAACGTCCACAAACCAACATCAACAATCCTGGAGCGTCTGCTCCAACAATCAGCCAGACGACCCCGTGAGACGCAGCCATATTACAGGAAGCAGAGCCGCTTGTGTAAGAGACGCTGTGACATGTTTTGACAGGGGACACTAAATGATGACTTTCAGGGGCCAACACGTCAGGGGCCCAGCGGCTCGTAAAAAAGGATGAAAATATGACAAGAGCGTGTTGTGGTGCAGTGGGGCTGTAATTAGCTCTCAGCTCCTGACACCTGGAATCACTGACGGGCTCAAACCACCGACACACGAGGACAACAACAACAGACCAGATGAAAAATATGACAAATCAGATCAGGAGAAAAAAACCTTGGTGAAAAATAAGTGCATCAGTTTTGACAAAGTAAATGTTAAAGTAGATCAGCAGCAAAAATAAACTGAAATATTCATCAATATTTTTCTGGAGGAGAAAATCTTCAGTCTTTCATATTTCAGAAAGAAAAGAAGAAATGAAAAATGGGCCGACCTGTAAACCTAAAGAATAATGAAGCTTGACTTTATCCACCATTAAGCTTCATTAGATCTACTCCCATTGAACTCCATTCATTCTACTGCAGCCACAGTAAAGAATGAGAGGCTGATATTCTCGTTCACAGCTCACAGACAAACACTGTGTTTATCATAACTCCTACTTTTGGTTTTGGAAAAACACCAGACGCCATAATAACCTTCCTCCGTCACTACACGTCTCAAACTACATTTACTCTTCAAATTTGACTCGGTGACAGAAGACTTTAGAGAGAAGTTTAAAAAACAGCACAGATTAACAGTAAACCAGAAAGGGACTAATAAACTACAAACTACAGATAAAATACTAATTTGAAAAAGCTCAAGCTATATACTAAATATAAAATACTCTGAGAGACCTTTGCTCTGAAAACTGTTCAGATTCAAAGTTATTGTTGGATTTACATTTGAAGACGTTAACGAGGACATCATCGAGGACATCAGGTCAAACTATTGTCCCGAACGCTCAACTGCTCGAGCATCTCGTCGTTCCACTGACACAGAGCTGAATGAATAAATCTCTGTTAACGTGTGTTTTACTGTCACTGATTTTAAAATCTTAACATCTGTGATAAATATAAAGTTTGGCTCTTTGTCTCTGATGTTGTTTCCATCATTTAATTTTTTTAAGTTTTGTTCGGGTGAAACTGTCTTTCAGGAATGGTTCAACTGATAGTTGATCTTTGATGGTGTGAAGTGAATTCTGAAACACATGATCAGGTTTTGTCTTCAGTGATCAGGAGTCACAGTGAACTTGTGGTTTCTGACCCTGAACACGAGTGTTTGTCTAATGTGGGATGTGTTTAGACTTCACCGCTTCGTCTCTATTGTTCTGTCTCAACCTTCAGCTGAGACAAAGCTTCCACTCGTCCCTGAGATGTCTGTAAACCTCCAGTCTGGTCACACAAATTGTCTAAACTTTAGTTTAACGCTCAGTTTCCTACCTGAGGATGTGGGCCTGCATTGGAATCCATCACCATGGAAACCAGGGTAGCACTGGCAGGTGTAGGAGCCTGGTGTGTTGGAGCACAATGCGTTACCATGGCAACGATCCAGTCGACACTCGTCCACATCTGAGCGGAAACAAAGACACGGAGATGAAGACGAGGCCGAGGTCTGCAGACGATCGGACGCAGCGTCTGATAAACTCACCCTGACACGACTGACCGTCGCCCTCGAAGCCCGGGAGACACGAGCAGACGTACGACGAACCTCCGGTGTAGCTGCACAGAGCTCGGTCAGATACATCACAGTCATGACTTCCTGTCTGACAATGATCCACCAGACGATTCTCCTCTAAGAGACCAAACAGAAAACATATGTCACAGCCTTTGATTATTATAATTATATATCAAACGATATTTGCTGTAACAGAGAGAACATCTGAAATGAACTGTGGTGGTTGTGCACCTCTGGGCCGCCGAACATCGTGAGCTTCACAGATGTTTTCATATCAGTCACAGTTACGTAACAAAACCTCCATTCTTTATGTCTCTTGGCGTCTTTAAGAACATCTGTATGTTCAACAAGGGACTCAAACAACACACAGGAACTACAAACTCCACACATACACACACATACACACACACACACACACACACACACACACACACACACACACACACACACACGTGTTTAAACGCACCAGTGCAGGTCCTTCCATCGCTGGCGAACATGAATCCAGTCAAACACTCACAGCGGAAGGTTCCGGGCTGGTTACTGCAGACGGAGTTGGACCCGCAGATCCAGGACGTCTCTCTGCACTCGTCAATATCTGCCAATAACACAACGACATTTACAGACATGAGGTCACATCACAGGCAGCCTGACCATCTGAGTTTAAAGAACTTCACATGAACCGATAAACTTGAAGCTCTGTTTGAGTCATTAGAGGTTAACATGAAGAAATACATAAGAACACTGGATATTATCATGAATCTAAAAATCTGTGAGAAAAAATGTGATCTTTCTTCAGAAACGTGTCACATGATGTTTATAAATTTAAATTATTATCATTCATTGATTCATTAGCATGGCAGCGGTAACTCTCATTGCCTGTAGGAGTGTTTGACTCAACACAGTCCAGGGTGGTAGGGATTAGGGGTTATGCTGTAATGTGGTTGTGTTACCGTGGCAGTAGCGTCCATCTCCGGTGAAGCCGGCAGCACATTCACAAGTGAACTGGAGGCCTTCGCCTGGTCTGCACACGGCGTTGATGTCGCAGCCGTGTCGGCCGGTGAAACATGGATTCTGCTCCGGAAGACTGCCTGTGAGAAAACAGACAGAATAAGAAGAGTAACCGCACATTCAACATCTGTTTGTGTTTTCAGTGACGTTCATTAATTAATGATAATCGGATTCATGAAAATGATAATTAGCAGCAGCTCCAGTTCATCACTTCAGCACCTGTGGCTCCATGTTCCCATCATGCAGCAGCTGGATGTTTAAAGTTTCCTCTTCGCAGGAAACACGACCCAGATGTTCAACGTTTAAATCTCAGACTCTGGCTAAGTCCTGTTTGTTTGTGGAACTCTGAAGCCGAAGCAGCTCATCAACAGACCCACCGGCACTTTTACCTTTAACCCTCCAACTTATTTAAAGAATCATCTGATGTCCCCTCCTGTGGACTGGAGGTTGGTATCTCCCTGACCTTTACCCCCTGCCAACGCTCTCACAGCCGCTGCAGCTCGCAGCTGAGGAAATAAAGCTGCTACCAAGAGATCACTGTTGATGTTTCTTTGAAGGAGGCTCGTTTCAGCACATTCCTCCGAGGAACAACAATCCACGAGCAGGAGACACAGATGTTAACCTGACAACCTGCAGCTGGACACGTTAACATCTTCATCTTTCGACTGTAAAACTCCCGTAAGAAAGTTTTAGGACAAATCAAAAATGTCTGGAAGCTCATTTCTGCCTAATAATTATATTTTCATTATCAATTAATCGGTAATTATTTTCTCAATTAAGTTTTTAGTTGATAAAATGTCGGTTTAATGTGACATAAAACAGAAAATCTGAATAACATTTTGTTCATGTCTGAAAAAATCTTCAGAGATTTGATTTCATGAGAGTTTATAAATAAATGTCCTCCTCTCTCTTTGCTTATATTTCCTCTGTGTGTACGAGGTGTTTAAACTCACTGTGGACGGAGCCTATCTTGTTGCTCATGGCGTAGCGGGTCAGATTGTTGTCAGCGTCAAACATCACGAAGATCTGGTCCACGCTGAGCTGCTGGGTGGATGGTGCCACCCGGGTTACATCGTTGTGAGGGCAGCTCTGGAAGGTGATGGTCTGACGCCACTGGAAGCTTCTAGTCTGAACAGTGCCGTCAGGGGAGGTGATGGCGTAGTCGCGGTTTGAGGAGGAAGTGATCACTGGTTGTAGCAGAAGAAAAAAGAATGAATACAGATTTTCGCCGCACTACTGATTTAGATTTAGGGGACGGTCCTTACAGTTTCTGTCGTACTGGTAGATCTCTTTGTACGGGTTGATCTGAACGGAGGATCCCAGCGGGATGTGGGGTAGACGTCCCTCCAGTTCCGTGCTCACCACCAGGTGGTCGTGGTCATCGATGCCTTTAAACTGCTGCTTGATGCTCAAACGCTCGTTTCCAGGCTGGAAGATCACCTCTGCCTGTCGGGAAAAAACGCCACCTTCAGGGGAACAACGCCAAGGGCATTAAGGTTCATGGTCACCAACACATATTAACACATGTACTGAGTATTATCTAAATAATTGTGCGCATAGCCTTTACTCTCTGTCTGTAGAACACGGTTGGAAGTCAACAACTTCAAATGTCTATGTCGTCGGTGTGTTAAACACAACCTCTCCTCACCAATTAGACTGAAGCCATTCTGGTAGCCGGGCTGCTCCAAGGCGAAGGCCCAGCCGATGACTCCTCCCAGGGAGGACAGCGGTTGCAAGGAGGGCCCTATGCTTGTGGGGATGTTGCTGATGGCCACATAAGCCCGTCCGTCATTGGCCACCACATATGAGTGCAAGTCATTGTTACTGAACTCCACGGGCGAGTTCCCCACAAACACCTGACCATTGACCTTTCCATTCATTCTCTGCGGTTTACCTGGGAAACAACACAGATTTCATACGAAGGGCAGAAGTTCTGGAGTCCCACAATGAACCAAAGTTTGTGTCATCTTGACAACTGTCAACACAAAATTGTTAGTTCTGACATTGAGTCAAATACCACCAGGTTCTAGTGCATTAGTTGCATAATCTGCAGAATCTGAATCATGTTGGGCCAAAATGTTTATGAGAATTTAAGCATTGATTAATCGACAAAATAAATATCAGATTAATTAATAATGAAAATAATCAATTCAAGTCTTGAGCACTGTCTCACATCATTGTGTCTTTGCACAGACAATTCTCACCTTCTGCGACACAGTCCTTCCCATTACCATAGAAACCAGGCCTGCAGTGGCAGCAGTACCCGTTACTGTAATCCCGACAATCCGCAAAATTAGAGCATTTGTGTCTGTTGTGGGCACAGGTCTCCAGATTGTACGCAAATACTGAGAAAAGAACCAAAGTCTGTATCAGTCAAACATTTAATTCGACATAAACCTGAAGAAATCAAATCTAAATCTTCACGCACAAAAGTTTGGAACCTCTGTAATTTACCATTTACATCCAGATCTTCGTCTTCATCCACCACAACAATCTGGGGGTGTTGGGGCTGGGAATGGGGTGGCACTGGTTGGACTGGTTCAGGACTGATGTATCGTGGTTGAACTGGATCAGGATCAGGGTATGTTGGTTTAGGAGGGTCTGGATTATGTGGACGAACCCTTTCAGGACTATACTGCGGCTCTTCAATCTCTGGTTTGACAAACCCTGGTGTCGCGGTCTCAGCTTCATCAGTCGGAAACTCCTCCTTCACTTCTGTTGCTGCTTCGGTTGACATCATCGTCTGGGTTGCGTAGGTTGAAAACTCCACCTCCTGTTGCTCATTGGGTAGTCTTGGCAACACCGTCACAGGAAGTTCAGTTGTACCTTTCTCCTCAGGAAGGCCAGTGATAATTCCTGGTATGATGCTGACAAAGAACCGCGAAGGCCCAATCTCGTACACCCAAACCCCTTTGCGTCCAGAATTTGTCTTTCTGATTGGATATAGGACGGAAGACAGTGACAATGAGGACAGTTCATTCAGTGAGATAAAAACCAACAAGGATCTCGCTCACTAATCTCAGAAAGTTTCATCTACAAACAAAAAAAGAAGACGGATCCTTTCAAGTCCGAGAGACTTCAAGACATTTTCTTCCAATAATTTGTGATAGTGCCACTTTTGGAAATACTTTTATAATTTGATATTAACATTCAAGCTTGTTCTGGTCACTAAGGCTGAAGTATTTGTTTTGTTAGCACTCTGTTAGCCACAATAACATTAACGTGGATTACTTGATTGACAAAATAAATCACTTATATTATACACTTATCTTATATTTTCAAACACTAGATTCATACTCAGTAAGTTCCCTGATGGAGGCCTCTTCATCTGTCGTAGTTCGGTAGTACGTCCCCTGGCTGTTCTGGAACCAGCCCTGCACCATGCCTTCATTGAAGCCGGCCTCTAGGAGCTTATTGTCATCCCCAACAGACGTGGAGAGGAACTGCAGTCCGTCTGTCGGATACAAGAGGATGGCATAGGAGGATGACTTCATGGAGGCCACAACCAGCTGGAACGTGTTTCTCTGAAAGAACAAATGAAAATATATTGAGCAGCCATTCTCAGTTTTGCTCCTAGGGCCACACAGTTCTTCTGATTTTCTTATCTGGTTGGTAGTTTGAGGCGAGCCCTTTAATTTCCAAATCATCTTATCAGCGCTGACGAGCAGAGAGTTCCTGATCTTTAGAGGCAGAGGAGACGGTCATTTTATGGAGGAAGCTGTCAGACACACTACTTCAAAACGGAACGTCAGGTTTCTGGGCTCTGCCTGAGATCCAGAACTAGCTGCAGGGTCTACATTTTCTATCTGACCTGGGAATGCCTCAGGCTCCCCCAAGAAGAGCTACAAAGCGTGGCCAGGGAGAGGGAAGTCAGGGACACCCTTCGGATCATTAACCCCCCCACCACCACCACTTCCTCAGGCCATGATTAAGCAGTTCACTTACACCTCAAGGACAAGTGGCGCTGTTCTGAGGACGGTAATGTTCGTATTTTGTCGATTGAAGATAGATGGTTTGAAAGAGGAGTGAAAGAAAAACTTAACGGAGGAGGTGGTTTATTATACTCTCCTTGGTTGTCCTGCCCAGCAGGATGGGTCTACAACAGATTAACAGCCATTCACACCTGGACTCAGAGTTACTCAACGACCCACAACCGGTGGGGGGTTTTAACGACCAGCCTGTTTAACATAACGACTCTGACACACAGAGGTTAATGCCTGAAACCTCCTAGTACTCAGAACTGAAGAAGCCTCTTTTAGGAAACGTCTTCATGAAACACAAGCAAGTCCAGTTGTTCACTTGACTGAGAGTCTTCACTTTCAGGAATCACCTGGATTTTATTCGAACTTGAAGGTTGAAGAGTTTGAACTGTAAAACCGGAGACATAAATCAAACCATCTTTAAAAAAACAACATGGCTGACCATAGCGTCCAATCCGTCCCCTCGACCAGAAGTCCCCCGAGCAGCCATGTTCACCCAGGTGACGACGAGGACGCTGATGGGCTTGACTCCTTCTTCCCTGGAGAAAGCTTGTTCGATGTGCTCAGCGGCTCGACTCAGTACATCTGGGCTTCTGTCCTGCCGGTAGAAGACCTTCCCCCGTCCGTCACTGTTGTCCAGGTCTCCCAGCAGAGCAGCAATCATTGGAAAACTGGCGGGCATCTTCCCCAGGTACTCACTCTCAGCTGGAGGGTCAACGACCGCCACAAATCCATTGGTGTTAATCTGGAAGAGAAGGAAGTTATTAATTATTTAACCAATTGATGTCTGAAAAA